GAAGCAGACACAATCTGTGAAGCAAGAACTTGTTTTGTCAGTCAAACACAAGTCCCGGTTAGTCTCATATACCGCGAGTTCGAGCCTCAGAGGTTGCGTTACACGGTGCTGCTATGGCTAACTGATGACGGCTATTAAGCCAGACTATTAACGCAGTAAGCATTTCCCACAAATGTCCCTCCCGACTCTTGTCTGAGGTCGACATTTGTTGATTATAAAAAATCTTTGTTGATGCAAGCTTATCTACGTATTTACACACTTTTGGCAGTCAAGTATGCCATTTAGGAAGGGGAACCTTTTAATGCGTATATTCTAGAGTCCGCATCCGCAGGCCATCATCAGACGCTTATGGAGAGCAAATGTCCCAAAACAGTTCACTGGTTTATTTGTGCTTCCGTGTATGCGTCTTTACATGAGTTTAGGGTTAATTGCACGCTAATATTCGTTCATCATATATTTGGTTTTGCATCTAATTGCAACTGCTTAATCCCTTTCCGATTGGCCTCTAATGTTTTAAGCATCGGCTAAAACATCTACATGAGACTCATTCTAAGAAAGTAAATCTAATGAGTAAGGTAGTTCAACTTGATAGTCTTATTCGTCAGGTTAATATGTTCCCATTCGAGTAAGCAGGTAGTTGACAGTGTTCCGTTCGTGAGAGATAGGCTGATAGTTCTCACAAAGTGGAGTAACTTTCCCATGAGTTTCTATTCGATAAATCGATATGCGAAATGCTCCGTCAGTATATTGTTGCACAAGAATATAAATACTGTCAACGATCTATTAGAGTGTGAATTCAATCCTCGGAATTGTTGGGTTGCTTTTGTTATGAAGCGTTTTCTGCTGGTCCACTCTAACGGCAACAAATGGACCAGCCACAAGTCATAGTTAACTAGTGGATGATATAAGCTCTCTGGTTCCTTCATGGTGATTTCGACAACAGATCCAGTGATGGATGACGACATAGGAGCTCCTTTCAGTTCTTGATAGCAATGTTGGTCGAATGACGAACTAGGTTCGAGGTCTGGTTTTCGCAGAGGAATCCGTGTTGTAGGACGGTAGAAGTTACTCCGTGCATTGTTTTGATAAGTCTTGTGGTACAGACGTGCTGGAATGGACGGCATTGTGGAAAACTATGATTCTATCAGTGCAAATTTTTATTCCTTCTGCTAACGACATTGGTGACCCAAACCGTGATTTCTTCTCAACAGTTATTTATCATTCCCAAAGCTCAACTCAGATACTTGCGTTGGTCTACTTCTATGGGTTCGTTTCCGTTTTTGCTTAAATGAGAAACCACTGCATATTAACTATGCGTGGGACCTCACTTGAGCGTGCCTTCATTCGAATGGGCATGCAGCAATTACCCGAGAATAGCATGCATTTATGAGACATTTCTCTGCTTGCGTTAAAATTAGCTCACGTTTCTTATTGCAAGCTCGACCAGTGTAATCTCTCTACTTTTGGCCAGCTTCTTTATTGCGCATTAATGTATTTCCCATTGCTGCATAATTATAGACCATCATGAGTGAGAAGGACTTAGATAAAAAAATACTTATTGCAGCTAAAGTAGAATAAGCTTTTTACTACAAATAATGAAGACTTGAATACCGTGAGGCTGAAATAGACGTATGCTGAAATCATTTTTTGTTCCCGCGGAGGATTTTAGGCAGCATTAGAGCAAGTTTGAGAGTTAAGGCTTGGGTTGCGCCTTGGTCAATGAAGCAAGAGACCAACTAGTAATATATCCAAAATAGGAATTGCATAGTCGCATTTTACCGTAATACATGAATCTAGGATGGCAGATATCATTTCCATCCATAATAATTGCACAGACGTTTAAAATTATTGGTCTGAATGTTCTGCAGTTTCGAGATAAAAATCTGCACATTCTCCAGCACATCTGTCGTCGCGTCGCACGGTGAGCATTTAGTAGGCAGTATGTCCTCGCAGCGCATTGGTTGCAAGACGGACAATGGTTTATTGAAGAAAAATCTGAGCGTGTTGCATCAAAAGATGACGGTGCTCATAACGTTTCATCTGCTGCTTTATTATGCTGGGGCTTGCCTGCTTATAAGGAGTAAGTTTCATTCTAGTGAAAGTTTCCCATTGCACGGGAGACGGGAGGGTGAGTCGCCCGCCAGTTTTATTTACCTCCACTTGTACTTCTAGTCTGTTGGTCCTCGAATATTTTTCAGGTGAATTAGGCGTGATGTTATTAGTAGGAAATCAATATTTTTACACAAATCACTTCAATAGGTGCGACTGTCATAGCCTGGTATGCAACTGTATAAACTTTGCAGTAGTCACAATGATTCAGTGCATGCCAGACTAATATTGTGACAATGACCATCTTAGACATTATGCATATTTGATTAATGGACCGTATTTTCCTTCCGAATTGAAGTCACTGTCTAGATTGGTTGACGAAATGGTTGAAAATCTGACCACTATAACTTCTGCGAATCTTTGTCTGAAGGACAAATCTACATACGTTGTTTTGGATAGCAAGGCACACAGGATAAACGAGCTTATTGGATGGTTACAGCCGATGTAATAAAGCGGTCTAGAATGTTAAGATAGTTTAGCAACTTTTCTGCAGATAAGAGTTTTGCTGAAATTCTTTGTACGCAAGGAAAACCTCGTAAGACATTACTCTTTTAGGAGTTCCCAAATGTCCACGAAGGGACGGCGAAATTATTTTGGATGATGTTGCGCTATACCTCATGCTACAGGCAAATCATTTCAGTTTCCAGAAAAGACTGTCCTATAGGGATTCACAATTAACATTTAACATGGAAATCGTACCGACGAATTTATCTTTTGATTGTACATTTTGGAGAGACATATCGCCTGCAAACTATTTGCAGTACACATGCCTTTCTCCAGTACTTTACACTGAGGTCTGCATTTCAAAAACGGTAAGAACACGACGGCAGGCGACTTGTAAACTCTTTTAGCAAACTATTCTTTGAAATAATTTATGGTGTTATATTTCCGGTTTGAAATTTCACTCAAATTATTCATGTATGCAAAATATTTTCGTCGCAGAATATAGACACGGATGACGATTTGACAGGCACCCAATATTTTTGGTATGCATTGCACGGAATGTCTTTGAGGGCAACTGTTGACATTACTTACTGGGAGGAGGAAAATAACCCGCCAAATATGATTCGACTCTCCTACATTCATCTGTCCGACGCACGCAAAAGTATTTCACGCCGTTTCCGAAAACCTGTCGATTCCAATTTATTAAAACTGGTAAATATGAGAGAAAGGGGTTTCTATTTGTTTCTTAAGAAAGCATTCTTAAATGCGCCCTCGATAGACTGCCATCAGTAACTGTCATTGTTGTCAAAACGGGCTATTATATAGGAATGATAACTACATGATTGTCGTTTTAACATTGATCTTTTGTAAATGTCTTTTTCCTTTGATGAAATTACAAGTAAAATTTTGTTTGAGCGGATGACAACAAATTAAATGCCAGATATTGAATTGCTGAAAGCTAGACTGATACATATGATGAGGCATCTATCTGGTTCCACTAAATGTCAGTGTGCCAATGGGTGTAGATACTATTGCTTATTTAACTTCACGAAATGCATTTCAAATTAAAAGCGTTTTCTAGCAGTCACACTAAGTGTTACTTGCACCTGCACTTTAAATATTATCAGGAACCCTGAGCGGTCGAATAAATGCCATACCATGTCCAGTAAGGAGCTGCTTGTGTTTTCAACGCCAACTATGTTGATGGGATGGATGTCATACCCTTGTTGGAATTAAGAATGCATAATTTATCTGTTGACCTTACTGCAGGTCGCCCAATCTGTCAGATCAGTAAGCCAGCTTTGTGCAACTGTGAACTGGTGTTACACTTACGCAACAGCGCCTGCTGCCTCTGGTACTAAGCCAACGCAAGCACCCGAGCTAAGGATCGAGAAGGCATTTCTATCAGCCTCTTGTGTTCTATCTTCTGACGGGTTACTGAACGAAAGTAACCTAGGAATTTTTAATATTTAATTCAAGGAAGACCGAAGATATAGGGGTATTCCAACATCTGTTACGGAAGAGCCTTCCTGCCATACTCTTTATCTTGTTTCCTGAGATCTGATATGTGGCAGCAAAATAGAATTTGGCAAAGTCGATAGGCGTTTACGCAGTTGCGTATGCACACACTTGTTTGTCAGAAATTTTTACAAAATGCCTGCGAACATCCGTCCATCGTATAACACATGAATTAACTAAGTAAAGCGTTTTATATTGGACATCAAAGAGCTGACGCATTAAGGCAATGTAGCTCAACACCAGCAAATGTTAGCCGTCCTAAGCAATAGAGCTAACACAGAAGGCCGATTACATCTTCCATCATGAAGTTCGTCAGCCTATGCTTAAACTCAGACTACAAGGAATTCGAAATTGCCACTGCTGTGGGCTTTGCTAAATCATAAGCTCGACTATCGTACTGTGACAAATCTTTAAATTTTTTCCGATGATAATTTGCGAAGTCGATATCCCGTTGTATACTTCATGACGAACTCGAAGAATTTTGGCGTTTCAATTTAGAGAAATTGCCGAGGTCATACGATTGACGTGTCAGACACTGTGACAATTATCACTAGATAAAATATGAAGTAGCAAAACTGATAAGTAGTCAACGTGATTGATAAAACCTACTCCCTTCAATAGTAGTGAAAATGCGATTTCCAGGTGGCATATCAAAAGAAGAGGGTGCGTTCACCGGGAGGGGTTTATTTGAAATCCGACGTTTCGGGTAGTTTATTCGTCTACCCATCTTCAGGGACTGGGAACTCTTGTGCACAGCACTCCTTATTATGGCGCCCTTTGTCCAATGGGTGATCCGCCAATGCCGCCTGTGTGGCTCCATCCAACCCGCATGTCACCGTGAGCTGAATCGCCCCCGTCGGCCCCGGTGATGATTGACGGCCGCAATTGTCCCGCGACGTAACTGTCCCCCGCTAAGAAGGTTCGTAAAGTCAGATAGGGGGAGGCAAATTGATGCGGCGGTTGACAGAGCGGTCGGTGGACATCCAGGCTTCTTGCAATTGTCTTGCTGTGTGATCGTTGCCCCGAACCACAATCTCAATGGCGTCAAAGTTGAAGATGTGTCCCATTTGCGCGGCATGGGTTGCTACCTCCGACTTTGTGTCCAACATTCGCACGGCCAACTTATGCTCGTGCATTCGCGTTTGCAGCCGTCGGCCGGTTTCCCCAACGTAGTCGCAACTTTCGCAGCTGCACTGAAGTCGGTAGACAACGGCCGACATCTCCTGCTTAGGGATCGGATCTTTCGGCCGCATCACTTGCAGGCGGATTGTTGAGTCAGGTCTGTGGGCAACACCTATTCCGAGTGGCGCGAGTGATCGGGCCACGACTTCGGAGACCCCTTTAATGTACGGAATGCTCCGCCACGAGTTTGGCTGACTGTGCTCTTCGTTTCGTTTCTTTGGCTGCCTCCGGCTTCGTTCAATGAATGCCCGCGGATAGCCATTGGCTCTGAAAAGTTCTCGGAGGAGCTTTATCTCATCCATTTTGGCGGCTGGCGTGCTGCAATGAGTTTCCACCCGTCAGTACAGCGTGCGGACACAGCTTCGTTTGTGGTGTGGCGGGTGGTTGCTGTTGTAGCTGAGAATTTGCAGCGGGTTCGTCGGTTTTCTGTAGGCCGACGTCGCTAGTTCGCCATTTGGTAGGCAGCAGACGAGAACATCCAAGAACGGAAGTTTGTCCTCTACTTCCTCTTCCATCGTGAAATGTAGATCGGGCATGATTGAGTTCAGTACTTCCGCATAGTAGTTGATTTTATCCTGGTCTATGATTGCGAAGGTGTCATCAACGTAGCGTGCTCAAAATTTGGGTTTGTACTCCTCGAATAGTCGTCTCTCGAGTTTTTGTAGAACCGCCTCGGCAATGAGTCCGGAGATTGGTGAAGCCCATTGGAGTGCCCTTGATCTGCTCGTATGTGATCCCTTCCAAGGTAAAGAATGTCTTGAGGCAGTGCCCCATGAGTTCTATGAGGTCCTGAGCTGTGGGCTGGCCATCGCCCCCGTCGTAATTTTGACGTAGCATGTCACTCAGCGTTTCGACCGCAAGGGCCTGTGGCTATTTCAGAAGCTAAGATCCCTAACTGCAGCCTCACAAACAACGGGGCACTCAGCAGAACAATTCCTTGACAAAATAAGGACAGTCACGATCGAACCGAATGAAAGGATGATGTCTTTTGACGTCGTCTCACTCTTCACGTCCATACCACAGGCCCTTGCGGTCGAAACGCTGAGTGACCTGCTACGTCAAAATTACGACGGGGGCGATGGCCAGCCCACGGCTCAGGATCTCATAGAACTCATGGGGCACTGCCTCAAGACATTCCTTACCTTCGAGGGGATCACCTATGAGCAAATTAAGGGCACTCCGACGGGTTCACCAATCTCCGGACTCATTGCCGAGGCTGTCCTGCAAAAAATCGAGAAACGACTGTTCGGGGAATACAAACCCCAGTTTTGAGCGCGCTACGTTGATGATACCTTCGTGTTCTACAATGCTGTCAGTTTTAAGTTTTTGAAGGAAATTTTAAAAATATTTAAGGTTGGCGGAGTTACTGCACGTAGAGGTTTCCCAGAGTTGGAATAAAACAAAGGGATTTTGGTGTGGTATGAATTGCATGATACACAATATAAAATGCGTAACACAAGGTATAAATTATTGTTTTCGGTAATTTCGTGTTTGCATCGGATCATAGCTGCTGACAAAAAATGCGTTCGCCATTATCAACAGCAGGGCAGAACAACCACTTAAATAAGGTAAAGAAGATGAGAAATGAACAATGATTTGATAAGGCTATGGGAGACTATTACTGTTGATCAGTATTAGCATAAGTTATTTCATTAAGTTTGTCATTGTACACAAAAGGTCAGAATATGACATTATAAGATGACAACGCTAGGCCTTATGTTGAACAATGAGTAAACTTAATTTGTAAGCCTTTCGTTCTGAAGTCCACTCCCCACGCCGTATTCAACACTCATGCTTCATCAGATTATCATTTGTTTAATCAGTGCCATGTTACCCTGCTTAGCAGCGCTGAAGAAGTCAAAATGTCTAAAGTAACAGGCAGTTTTCCTACTGCTGATTTAGTCTGTTACTCATAAAGTGGAAAATGTTTTATATCTGCAAATGACAAATAATTTGAATAAAACACAGTGTATAGGCGTCTGTAAATAAACGTTAACTTCAGTCACAAATGCATCACGAATGATTTCCCCTTACAATTACTAGTAAAATTTGGTCCTGAGATGTAAAATTTGTCAATCGTACAAACTGATCATCGGTCGTCACCGCCTTCCATTTGATTCTGCGAGGTCTATCTTTCAAGTCCGGTCGGCTTGTCTCATGAGTTTACTTGCATACGTCATACGGATTATCTATGCACAAGTGGAAATCGCGACATCCACATGTCGACTATGTTTTCTGCCTTCGGCCGTAACCTAAAATTCTAACATCAGAAATTTTCTGAAGCGGTTAGCAGGCTAACTGAACAAATAAACTAATTTACTGCTTTAGACATCATTAAGCGAAGGAATGCAGGACAAGCGGTGAAAGGCTGTGTTGTCTGGAGTTATTTTTCTTATGAAATCAAAGAGGGCGGAGTGGGATGTGTTTGAAGATGGGAACATGGGCGGCTCTGTGCGTTGACGTGTCTCTTGGTCGTCCTGTAGGTCAGGTCGGTGTGCAAGTTGCTATGGTTCTGCTTTGAAGTGGCGTTGTCCCTTAGCACGAATTCCTGCCAATCCAGAAGAGTAAATAATCTCCAGTCTATGAGTTGATGATCAATATTATGGTCTGACGAATGCCGCCAGTTTCAGCTAATGGTTAACCGTATTCGATGGATAGACCTTGATCATGATTAATCGGAATGTCTGAGGAGACAGCCATCCTCTGGGCATGACTGGCATCTGTACAGAAAATTATCTTGAATAAGGCCCGTAACACTATGCGCTTGGATTTCTACTCTTGCTCACACTGAATCGGAAGTTGCAGAGTGCATCGGATGAAGTCAGGACGCTTTTGCTCGAACTAATTTTGCATGCTTATCTTCAAACTTTCCCGTAAGTTGTTAAATTGGTCGGTCGGTGCAACCCATTGAAACCTGCAGATATGTTCGGGCAGTAAGTCACAGGCAGGCAAACTGTTTGTACATTATCAAAGAATTAGGGCAGTAATTGTTGGATGGGCAGGTTTAGGACAACATTTAATGCTATAAAAGAGGTCAGCCTCATAGTCGCTCCTGTTTTAACGCTCCTTAGATGCATGCTAACATCAGCTGTCGATTTTAGTGCACACAATCATCTTCTTTCCCTCTTGGTCTGTCACAGACTGTTAGCAATATTGACTTGAAAATGAAGGCATCGAATTGCCTCTTCATGATTAACCATGCACTGCGTAAGATGACGTTTAGTCGTCCGAACCAATTAAATGTTGGCCGGATATCTAATATGCATTTCTCATTAGGAAGGGTTGTTTAAGTGGAATTATAAAAGTGCTCATCATGCGATAAAATCTCAAGATGTTTCGGACACGAGGCCATGTCGTCTCTCGAGTGCGTTTTCTCGGCCACCGGTAATAACATAGTCGTTGTAGTTACTAACTAGTTGGCGCGTTTTTCCCCATAGGGTTTTGATGCTCTTAGGAATTCAAATGTTTACGTGGGTGAAATTTGTGCGAGAAAGTTCTGGTAATTATGGTTTTTAAAACAATTTTCTATTTCCATAATCTACGGTTTTATGTGTGCATTCGTAGGTAGGAAAAAGGGCATTCGTGTGTGCCGTTATGAAACTGCCACTAAAATCCCACGAAATTTCACCACACCTTTCTGTTCACAAAAGGAGAACACCAAAAGCCTGAAATGTTGACTGAAATTCTAAAATGCGTTTTCGATTAGGAAGAATTACTTAGGTGCGTTTGTAATGCTGATCATCTTGCGGCATAATCGTATAATATGTCGGACAGCATGTTCGATACTTAGCACGTTTAGGCTGCTTGCAGTCCCACTGTTTCATACACGCGGACGCCGCACTCGAGGCGGTTGACAGGCATTCGCCCGACTGCCAACTCCTGTCAAACTCTTTCCCAGCTTTTCTGTACAGAATACGCCATTTTCTTAACTGGCTTCTAACTCCATCTCTTTCCATCCTAACCGGATGATCGTGGTGCCTGACTATGTTTCCAGCTGCGCATTGAAAATGTTGCCAACGACAGCGATAGACACTACAAAACCATTACTCAACGGTTATTCTGCCGGATTTCTGAGTATAGATAATCCAAACATGAAGTTGATGGATAGTTATAATTTTGTCTCAACTTGACTTCTCGGATTGTTGCCAGAAATCTTGCATACACTGCTGGGAAGAACTAACGATTTACGGAAAT